ATAATGCCAACGCGTGGATGCAACTTATTGTGTCCGACGAATGCGCAAGTTGCATTTCAAAATAATGAAGGCGCATGGCTGTCCTCGCTTTTACGAAGACGCGTATCGTGTCAAATTAGCGGCGGAACGTTGTTAAGTTGGCTAGGGGAGAGGGTGGTCTTTTTTAACATCCCTTTACCGTCGCGCTCTGTTTCGCCTCTTATTAGCTCGTGCTTGTGCAACTGGAGACTGCCAGTTTTACATTACAAGTAAATAAATAAAACTTTGGCAGATGAAACGATATATATAGTAACAGTATATTTTTCGGCATTTATCCATGCATGTACACCATGATATTTTCGCAGTCTTATCTAATTATTTCTCCTCTTTTTCTTCTTTTGTTCTTAAGGCTGTATTTTCTATTTTAACACCACAAATGAAAGCAAAAATACGTGTAAACTTCCATTCGATACACTTACCTCCAATTTCTTGTATTCACCAAAAAAGTGTCCTTGAATTATCCAAATTATCCCGCTCATCGAGTCATCGATGTGTGGCTATTTTTCTTTTAAAGTTATCAAGGGGTCTTGTCCACTAAAAAGAATAATCAACCAGCATCTTTAGCGTAATGAGTTCAAAGTTATTCTGGACAGAACCAGTCGTATATTTTCTCATATTAAGAACTCAAAGTTAAAAGGGGTTAGTGAAAGTGGGGGATAAAATTCAATTTTGATATTAATTATCATAGGAAGGAATACATTTTAATGTACAATTCGAAACTCCTGTCCTCATTTCAAGTGCATATGGGTCGTCAGTTCCTCTCTGCTGAAATTTTCCCCGTCTATCTTCTTATCTGAAATATTAGTTGGTTCTACAACGAGAGAACGGTTGCAATATCTTGGCAGCATTGCAAAGGGCTCATGTCTGCAGCCTAATAAACACAAGGAAACTTCACAGGTGAGGAGTGAAAATCAATGGCTAGAAATAGTTTGAGCTCGATAAACTAATTTGCATTGACTATGGGAATGGGTGTTCGTAGACAACTCAAGAACTGTGAGAGCGCATCGGGGGTGGTGTGTGAGTCTGACGGGGAAAATCAATAATAAGCTTCGATAAGCATTTTCGCACGTGGAAGGGGTGGTTGTTGCACGAACGAGAATCCCGTTTCCTTCCTTTTTCTTTAAGTTTAAACAGTAGCCGAGGGGATCAAACTTCAACTCCTGATCTTTGTAAATGTCACGCGGCTACACGTATTAATCATAAAGGTCTGTTAATAAATCATAATTCCCAAGACCTACACCAATCCAGAGGAACTTAGCGCAGTCCCAGAAAATTGAGTGACTCTAAGTTCCCTCTCCTCCTCTCGTCATTCTGACTGATATTTTATTTTCGCGTGTTAACCTTGCTGTCTAATTTGGCACAAAACGCCGAACGCTAAATCACATAACACAGCAACAATTCTTTCCTCATTTGATGCGTCACTTTAAATATTAATGGCCGTTAAAAATGGACTAGTGCCGTTCTACGCTAACAACTGCTGTTACGCCGAATTTCGTTCGTCTTTAAATTATTGTTTGATTCCCATTTTAATGAGTTGAACTTGAAATTTTGTTGTCAGCTATCATGCGAGACAGTTAAATAAATTCCATCGTCCACAGTAAAACGGGTTTTGATAGACCGCCAGAAAGACTACAAATCCGAGTACTACAGAACATGATAATTCATTGACATTTCTTGCAGAATACCATGGACATATCAAAAATTTCCAAATTCAACTCATAACTAAAAGGGTAGCGTGTTTTTCGCAAACGTCAAATCTAACTTCCCGCTCATAAAAAATTGAAGTCCTTTAAGTAAATTGGGTATTGAACTGATTGCAATGTTATGAAATAGAGGAATTCTTACTGTGTGCTGAACTTTCCTTGGCAACTTAACAAATTACATGAATCAGGAAGTAAGTGATTTTGTTGAATCAAAAATTAATTGTTTGCCAAACGAGTAACTTTAACATCAATGCCCTTTGAATCACACTGCCTATCATATTGTTTGTGGATGTAACTTTTGAAAGGACAGACTTTACTGTGAACTATAAACACAAATTTTTAAAGCATCAATAAATTGATTTCGAAATTTTTTAACAAGATTAACGTGCTCTCGATAAAATTTTGTTGAGGAAACACATCTTGAAACGCTTCAGTTTTTACCCTTCCTAGCAGTGGTCCACTGTGCTACGTTATGAACAATATTTTAATTTTCAAGATATTATTACCTGATATTTTTGCACGCATTTTTTCAGATTATGTTTTTGAAAAGGCAAAAAAAAATCATACTTAATTTGGGATATACGCATCAGCCAGGGGAAAAAGAAACACATAGAAATGTGCAACTTTGCGGGGGAAATGCGTGTTTTTCGATTTATTTTCGCGCAGCACGCTGCCTTGGTGCTCGTGGGTTCACAGAGAAATAGGACTCCAGAAAAGAGAAATATACGAGTTGAATATTCGTAAAGGCATGCACGCACGTCGCACAGGTTGCAAAAGAGATTTTCAATTTCCAAAATTTTTCCGCAACTCACCGTAAGGGTGAAAGTTGGAGAAAAGACCCTCTCCCTGGGCTTAATCTCGTGCCGACGTGTAATATAGGGTGAAATTACAGCGGGTCACATCTGAGATTGGAGCGGTGAGTGTGCAATGCAGTGCGCATGTGAGTACCTACTTACCAGATAGCAGCGAATGGGGGACAAGGAGACTGCAAAACTACGATGTACGACGCGACGCACACTGTTGTATTTGCCCTAAGAACCTGGCCAAAACTCAAATTTCAAAAACAACTTTCAAAGAAAAAAAAAAAATGATCCTGAATGCTACTCTGATGAGTTCCCACCGCTATAAAGTAGACATTTTGAATTAAATGATGTGTCCGATCTTTCTTTTTACATATCAGCAAAAACTGGGTATTTCATTGAATTAAGCTTTGTTAGCTACTACATCAGTATAGGTAGGTTTAGAGTAGAGGAGTCATATTAATCGCACCTAAAATTTGAAGGGTGGAAATTCGAAACCTACGTAACGCTTTAAGTGTCGCTAAGATTGTGTTTGATATATCTCGCTGTATAACAACATAAATGCTCTCGTCTCGTGGAATTATTATTGGAAAATTTTCCATACTTTTTGGTTCTATTTTCAAACATTAGCCTTCCCAGACCTTTATAATTTCCTTCGCGAAGAAACATACTTGCACGATCTTAGCGATACCAGACGGCTCTTGCCAGGTTATTGAATTTTTACCATTTATCATTTAAAGAATCAAGTCATTTAAACTCACAAAATGCCGAGGAGTTACTTACACCGTCTGTCCTCGATGAAAAAGCTTATATCGTCTATTTATGCGTGAGCCCTCAAGAACATGGCGTCATAAGAGCAACACGAGTCAGATCAACTTCAAAGAGCAGAACTCCCTTAAATTAGAAGATTGACGATGTACGAGTGAAAAAATTCTGTAGTAGTATCTCATGCTAAACACGAGATTCAAAACTTCATTCACCGCCAATCACACGTGAGCAGAGATACAAAATTTCATTAAACTTTATGAAATGAAAATTCAACAAATTTCAAATATTGTAGGGAAAATTCAAAAAAATTGAGAAAATTTCATAAAAAAAATTCAATTCAATTTCGTGAAACACGAAATTTCGTGAAATTTTCCCGGCAAAAGAAAATTTTGGGTAAAATTGCATGAATCTCTGAATAGGGGTCATCTCTAAAGAACCACCCAGGTAGTTTCCTCTGAAAGCAATTGCAATCTAGCCACGACCCTTCCATTCCAAGCAACTGAAATAGTTCAATTTTTTTATAAAATGTTTGAAATTTGTTGAATTTTCATTTCATGAAGTTTGATGAAATTTTGCATCTCTGCCTCCAAGTAATTTGCGGTGAATGAAGTTTTGTATCTCTAAATAGGGGTCATCTCTAAAGAACCGCCCAGGTAGTTTCCTCTGAAAAAAAATTGCAATCTAGTCACGACCCTTCCATTCCAAGCAACTGAAAAAGTTCTCGCCAGGATCCGAAGCGAAATGGGACGGTGTGCGACGGAGGGACGGGACCTGGTCGAAGAAACACGAAACATGAAATACAAAATCAAGATTAAAGGGCGACTGGGGCGATCGGGGGCGACCCGGGCGTCCAGAGGGGTGGCGCAAGAGCGAGGGGCGCGGGGGGGCGTCCGGGGGGAGGGGGAGGGGGGGCGGCGTCGCAGGCACCGCACCGAGGACGGAGAGGGCTTTGATCGAGTCGGGTCGGGCTTGGGTCGGAGTCGGATCAAGAATATAAATCTTACAGCGTGGTCGAGCAGACATCCTGTGTTCTGTTTCAAGGCTCTATCTCAAGGTCCCGGGTTCATCACCCACCGCGCCGCCTCACTTCTCACGAAATGTATATTATTATAGTCTCCCGCGCCCCGCGCCACAACCGCGCAACGCCCGCCGCGGGCCCCGCGCGGATACGCGCTTTTGCCCCGCCGAGCGGGCTCCGAGCTGTTGCACTTGTCCTTAACCCCTCCCGGCCCTCCCCGCTGTGGCACTTCCTCGCGCCCCTCGCCCCCCCCCTCGCCGCCCCTCCCTCCGCCCCCGGTCGCCCCTTCGGAGAGGAGCGCCGGAACACTCTCTTAATCACCTACGTCCCGGTATTTGCACAGTACTGAATTTTTCCTCACCTCCTCGCGCCCGCTTCGCAATGAGCTGAAATTTTGCATTCATCAGCCTCGGGGAGAGTACGCGAGCTTAATATACACCAAGGGGCTGGGGAGGGGGGTGTAATTTTGAGGAATGGAGGGGTGAAAAACTTGTCGCTCTCAATGAGACAACTGCGACCCGTGCGTTTTTCAGACTCTTGCTAAGTAACATGCCGACAACGAGGTTACCAAAGAGACGTTCTGGTCCATCGGTACCTTGTTTCATTCATAGTGGGTCCAGTTTTTGTACAGCCGAGAGTACACATAAAATGGCGATAAGAACCTGAGCTTACACTTCTCGTTGTCGTGGAGCGTCAGTGCTGCTGTCATGACAAGTCAATGAAAAGTAGTAGTACCGCACTGGAAAAAAACACATTGGATCTAGAGTCCAGACCCTTGAAAACATTGACAAGAAAGAATACTCTTGGTTCAATCAAATTTTTGCTCAAATCAAAAGGAAATCCGCTCAAATTAAGAGGCTTGGTTCTTGATTTAAGCAAAAATCCGATTGAATCAAGAGTATTTTTTCTTGTCGATGTTTTTAAGAGTCTGGACTCTAGATCCAATGTGTTTTAATTTCTAGTGTGGGGTTAGATGTTTTTGGGACAATAGGTGGATTCAGAAATTTAGCAATGCAGGATTTCCTCCATTTAAATCTATGTTAAATAATCGATTTTTGTCGGAGCATCTGGCTCCTTCGGAAATCGATGCATATCCATAGGTTTAAATGGAGAAAAAATGATGTTGCCACTTCGCTGGATCCGCCGATGTTCGGGACGAAATATGGTATGTCTCCCCTCTGATGCCTATATGTGTAGTGACATCAGTCTCAGAAGAAAAACCTTTTGAACTTTTAATACTTGAGTAGCTCGAAGATTGACATGTTATACTATCAGGTCATTTAAAGATCACACAAAGATAGGTGAAGAATTCCCCTGATACATGGTGATCTTCGCCGACATTAGTTGCATCCTCACTGATGAGGGTGTAAAGTTTAGTTTAGTTTAGTTAGAGAAGTTTGGATTGATCTTTTCAGATTGCGATTCCGCTGGTTTAAATGATAAAATATTACCTATAACTCTAGAGTGGAACATAAAAAAAGACGCATATGCCAGGAAAAAGCTAACAATAAATAAGGCACGACAACAAGGCCGATATTGTAATCAATGGGCTCATGAACATCATTTATCCGTCGAATCAAATTCCATGGACTGATGTCAATAAGTGATTGTCGAATAGATGGCTATTCGCGTTTCCCGATATTTTTGTTGCCTATACGACGAAACTGAAGGCGAGCATCAGATAGACGATACCTACCAATCGGTTAGAAACATCGTTCATCGGTTTAGGTAAAGGTTACGGAGCGATCCAACAGGATGCATGTGTGCAATTTTCGGATAGGTAACTATTTGCGCTCTCCGGTATGTTTGTTTTCTATGCGGCGAAATTGGAGGCGGACCTTAAGTGAACCATATCTGCCAATAGGTTTACGCATTATCTGTTGGATCTGGGGCTTCTGGCAAAGTTTATAAAGGAAAATTCCTCTTGCTTTCGTTTTAGCGCCTTTATTGCGAAAGTACCTGATGCAATCCTTCCTTATGCACAGCCCTAAATCCGATCCTGTTTCTTCACATAACTATGCACAGGTATTCAAATCAATCTATATATTTTAATTTGTGTATTAATTACAAATCAGTGAAACTCGATTGCATGTCATTCGGCTCCTATGCAATTTTCTTAGAGCGAGCGAAGCAAATTTCGGTAAATTTTCCAATAGAAACATTCGGTCAGTTTTCCCTGAACAAAACTAGAGTATAAGCGATGATATACATAGTCGCAATTAGAGGTACGTATTTTGCACCGTTGCCATCAATATTCTGCCCTATGAACAATTACGATGATATATTGGGACTGATTCTAATTTTTTATGAGTCATAATAGTAAAGACTTTAATTTGATCCCGTTTTTTGTTGGTAAGAGAAGACAACTTAAATTAGCTCTGATAGTTCAGAAGATCGAGTAAAAACTTTCCTACATTGCATGCTGCAGAATAAATCCCTTTCCATGACTCTAAGATCCTAATGTGATTTCTATGGTAACGGCGCGGCATGGATGACTAATCTCAGGAAAGAATAGTGAACGCTCTCCGTAGTTGCCAGATAGTCAAGACATGTCAGCACTTTCCCCCATTTAAACCCACGCAAAGTTTCTGCATTTAATTATACAATCTGGCAATTTAACGCTATCCAACGTCTTGACGTTGGCATCGTCCAACAATGCGGAGTCTGCGGACAACTATTCACCTAATAGAATATTACACCGAGTACATTTTAATACCGGCACTAAATCATCAAAGGTCATATTATACTAGTTTGAATGTATCGTAAAAGTAAGTGCTGTGAATAAACTGTATCGGAACGGAATGCACGTGGGCCGAAATGCTAAGATGCAGAGGACCGCGGCTTAAGATTGGTCATCGATTATGAGTGGAACTTTTAACGAGTCGCGCTGCTCTCGCGAGGGTGAATGAAATGAGTCGTGGCTTACTCAAGTCTCAAGTCTGCGACCGTTCGACTCCCGTTTCCAGCTCTCGATAAATATGTAGTAGGCATGAATCGCATATCAGCATGACTCAAACGACTTGTTTTTTTGGTTTCGCAATTTATTTATTCAAATTATGGAAACCTGACCGTATTGTCATTCCGATCTTTACTCTCCTCGACCAATTCGCGCCAGGTAGCGACCACTCTGTGCTGCTTTGCTAGGAAAAAACGCTGTAAGAGCATTTAATCGTTGCCAAATATTCCCCGTTTAAAATCATCATTTATAAGTAAAGTCAAGGATACTTCTCCTTGAAATTATTACATTCTTTCGATTGACTTGCGATTAAAATCATCTGAAAAACTGGGATAAAATCGTTTCAGGTCTCAAAGAAAATTTACATTTTTTTTCCGAATTAAATTTGGCAACGTCCGAAGGCACATATGTCGTTGCTCCCTAGCGGTGCAGCTTGGAGCTGGTATCGTTAGTAGCCGCAACCCTCAAGCGAGGAGAGACAATTATGAATGAATGAATGAGGGGGAAAAAATTGTTTACCTCACAGCTCTTTTCAACGCACGCTCAATTTTTTATCGAGTCTACGCGCGGTGGTGTCGTCTCAGCTGAATCTTAATGAGTGCATACTTGATTAGGGGAGGAGTAAAACTTTAGTGAATCTGGAGAAATTCACCAAAACAATTATCAGAAAAGTGAAAAATATATGTATTCATATGTACGGATTGTTGGGAATCACCAGGGAAGAAAGCTTTCGAGGTGGAAAGAAATGAGATTTATCGCAGCTTATATGGTTTAAGCAACTGTGTAGTTAAATTGACCTACAGTTAATTTTAAGTACCTAAGTTAACCGAAGGGTATCACCGTCATCATCATTTAACACAAAAAGAACATAACACCCAAACATTTCTACCAATTGACCCATTGAGGAGCATTACTTATTTTTTTCTCCTCCCCATCAACCTCTTCCAGGGCCGGATTTACATACTTGCCGCCCATGGGCCGCTAGAATTTTGCCGCCCCCTTCTCATTCGTTTTGAAACATCAATGAAAACCATCAAATGAAGGTGCCAGCGGGAGAGGGGAGCATAAGACGCGTTTACTGGTGTTGAACACATTTTTTGGGAAAGCCCTGTCAACACCTCTAAAAGTTCACGGAGCTTTACGCGAAAGTTAAGTTTCGTAAACCTATATCTGTGTGGACAAGGCCTTCCTCCATTCATAAGAAATGAACGAAAAAATTATGAAAGAACAAACATAGATGTGGATTAGTGGTTTTAACTTCCGCCGCCGCGCCTCGCAGACCGCACTGTGTTTGACGCAATGCGTGAAGTATTCACGCAGTCTTGTAGGCGCTAATGTGTGTTACATGTCGATCGCCGCGAGGGCTTCTCCTTTTCATCTCAAGTCCTCGTCATCATTTCTTTCTAGGTAAGTCGCGCCATTCCAGACCAAATGGCGTGTTTGGTTTCTCTCTTAACGCGACGAATTAAAGGTGCTGTCTCTTTGTATCACTGAAAGACGACAAAAGTAGAAATTACTAAACTCTCAGAAAATTAGAGATTTTGTTGCCTTTTCTCGTTTGTAATTTTTTTTTCTAAATCCGATTTTTTTTTATACCTACATTTAAAAAAATTGCAAAATTTGCCGCCCCCTATAGATTTGCCGCCATGGGCCGCAGCCCATGTGGCTACCCCCTTAATCTGGCCCTGACCTCTTCTGCTTCTTTTTCTTCTTCTTCTTCTTCTTCTTCTTCTTCTTCTTCGTCTCCTCTCCCTCCTTCTTGGTCCCCTCTTACTTCATATTCCTCTTCTTCTTATTATTCCTCTTCTCCTTAATCTCCTCGTTACTAAATATTCTTCTTCTTCTTCTTCTTTTCTTCTACTTCTTCTTTATTTCTTTTTCTTCTTCTTCTTATTCTTCTTCTTCTTCTTCTTATTCTTCTTCTTCTTCTTCCTCCTCTTTTCTTCTACTTCTTCTATTTCTCTTTTTCTTCTTCTTCTTCATCGTCTCCTTCTCCTTCTTCTTCTTCTTCGTCTTCTCTTCCTTCTCCGTCTCCATCTCCTCCATACCCTCTCCTCCTACTCCCCCTCCAGCCCTCGACCCAGGCCACCCATCTCTGTATTTTCCTCCTCCCAAAATCTCTTCAACAGGACAAATTAAATGATTAAAAACACTGAGTCGTGAGCTCTCGGAACTTTTGATGATAATGAAACACGCGGATCGAACCTCAGCGTATCGGCATGTAGGTCGTCCGGAGGGTCGACTCAATTTCAAATTAATTCCGCAGAGCTCAGGGAGGCAACCCGATCAAAAGCGAAAAGTGCACGGCCGGCTCGTGTGCAGTTCGCCGAAAGTTCGAGCGCGCACTCAAAAAAAAGTTAGTTTTTCCACGGTTATCTGCCGAGTTGATTCTCCGACATGTGCGCCTCGCAGTCGATCGCGTAAGAGCGCAATGACCTGGAAAGAGCGCCAATGAGCTGGTGTAACGCATTGGCACGAATCACACACGTCGGGTTAATGAAACGATTCGCGCGGACAGGTATGCAGTTACCGAAAAAGCGGGTTTCAATTTTTGTTTGTTTTATTACTCGGATCGCTTTTCCTGTTAATCATTTCTCATTTCCATCCGTCCGCCGTATAATGCGATGTTAAAGATAGGACTGGATGATTTGAATGTTTCAAGTCGACTCCTTTACGTCACCGCTTCCACCTCGTGTCTAGAGATCATTAACTATTGGTCTGGCCGGAAATACCCGCACTGTCGGAGGAGGAAA